TATCAAGTGTTATATCTGTGGTACCATCAACTATCTTGAAGCTTCACAAACCCATCAATCAGGCAAACGTGGAAAACCATCGTATAATAAAAATACCCAAGCAGCACTAGGTTGCCTTCATACTGGTGTAGGTAATACGTATTTGAACAATGTCCTTTCGACTTTGAACATCCCAACCATGAACAATTCTACATTCAAGGCACGGAAACGAGAAGTAGGTAAAGCAGTTCATATCACCCAAGAAAGCTCCAATAAAAACATGGAAATTGAGAGGGATACTGCTATATCAGCTGGAACATGCCAGATCATAATGGACTAGTTGGAATACCTGTATCTTATGACATGGGCTGGCAAAAGAGGGGAAAAGGTCACAACTCGCTTACAGAAAAGGCCTGGCTATGGGACCAGAGACTGGAAAGGTTCTAGCATATTCAACACGGTGCAAGTATTGCAGGATATGACTGCAGAAAGAACCATTCTGGTTCATCAAAAGCCATGGAAGCTGATGTGGCTTGTGAACTTTATTTAGCTAGTACTTTTGTTGGTGATGATGACAGTACAGCAATTTGCATCCGAATGTGCCATATACAGAATAGATAAATGGTGAGACATTGTTCATGCAAAGCGGTCATTGTAAACAAAATTATATAATCTATCTACCCGGTGTATATTTTACGCGACACGAGAAAACACACACACATATATATATATATATATATATATATATATATATATATATATATATATATATATATATATATATATATATATATATATATATATATGGGAAGGATTTTAGTAAGATATGACACCGAGTGGCAGCCTGCCATGGCAAGCAGAAAATTCTACTTGACCACGGCAGGATTTGAACCCACGGCCTTCGGTATACTAGTCCGATGCTCTGCCAACTGAGCTACCATGTAGTCCCAAATCCTTCCCTTCCCGAGTACCATCTACAGAATAATTAATCCACCGGATACATGTATGCGCATGTCATTTCATTGATCTTGCAGAGGTCGCAAAACGTTGACCGCGCGGAATGTGGGCTTACATATCTCAGAAACGAGTTCGGTAAGGTACCCTGAAAATCTGCATACAAATAGATACATGTACCCAGAGAAAAATAGCGATATTTCAAACAATCTAACATGTGCATTTTTTAGAAAAGATACTTTTTGATTTTGAAAATTTGGCATGATAGATTTCTTCTAACTTTCACACAAGATTTGGTTACTGGTTGTCTCTTTCAAAGTCCAGCTAAACGTTTGATATTATTCCACCATTTACTTGAATTACAATTTCGAGAATCTTTCATAGAGTAAAATAAACGGCGATCGCGACGGCACAGTCTCTTGGTTCTTTATATCAGACGTTATACACGGATTATCCATTGGATGACTTTTGACGGAGCGCTTTGGGAGATGTTCATCCATTTTTGCAACAACCTGGGTCATAAAAACGTTAATATTTTCATAATATGTCGAAGTATTGTATAATGGTCTCCTGTTAACTCGTACTCTCGTACTTTACTCGTACTCGAACTCGTTGGAGATTGGTTAGTGGGTGCGAATGATTGTCCTTCGTTAGAAGTTCTATGAAGTCAATGAACAACTGAACAGCTAGTGGATACCATGGCTGTGTTTGCCGAGCCGGAGCTATTAAAACTAAGTGGTCGACGTTCTGCATTGGTATTTGCCTCAGGGCTCAGACAGGCATATGGGGGAAATGCATAACCCCGATTTTTCCGAATTCATTGAGATTGCATCTGTTTGGATAGCGAGAGGATCTGGTTTCCAGCTGACATTTGAGGAAGTCGAGATGTCAGCCGAGATGAGAAAGGTCTATTTACAGTGGGCTTCAAATCCCTTACTATTGCCTGAAACATATAAAGATTCAGTTTCCAGTCGCTGGAATCGGGGATAATGATGAATGGAATCGGGGATAATGATGAATGGAATCGGGGAGCTGTTGAGTTGATACTGTCAGTTGATTCTCGAGGCACCACTCCCACAGAGCAATTGCTAGATTTGCCGAGATTTGTGAGTGAGCACCTCCCATCTTGCGACTGCAGCTGAGTGGCAACTGCCGCTCAGTTGTCCATCAAGAGTTTTACCTGCGCACATGCTTTGTTCTCCTTTTCATAATACTCTGCACTGCAGGATTCATTATGTATTTTTCGCCACTATTCACCAGGCCATCACAGTTTAAAGTTCTTTGTTATACAAATCGAGCCCTATGTAAACGACAATGAGCCCTTCCCAACCGTCTTTTTTTCGCGTGCATAAAACCAGGCTCATCGACTTCTAAACTACAATGACGGAAAGACAACCTCAAGGGGTCGTTGATACAGATGAACACGATCTTCCTGTTCATTCAGAGCTTTCTAATGATGCCAGATTTGATGTCCAATCCGACATCATGGTCGCCATGATCGTTTAAACTCCAAGCGCTACAACTGCCGGAAACCTCCCTTTCGGAGGCCACATTCGCCCGTAGCAGCAAAAAAGTTGGGGACGTCAACCAAACAGTAACGAATCAGATACATCCTAAGGTAGGCGGCCGTTTACGCCAATTTTACGATGTGTGGAAGTGTTTAACAGATGACAATGGGATTTTACAGGCCGTGCATGGTTATAAAATTGAGTTCACGACTGAACCCGTTAAGCGAAAAATCCCTGGAAGAGTAGGTTTTTCCTTGGCTGAGAAAAGTTCAATTGATATTGAAATTCAAATTCAAAAGTTATTAGACAAAGGAGCAATCCGACACGCTTCATTTCATCCAAGACAATTTCTGTCAAACTTGTTTGTAATTCCCAAGAAGAGTGGCGAGCTTCGCCCTGTTATTAATTTAAAGCCACTGAATGAGTTTGTTATTTATCATCATTTTAAAATGGAAAGTCTACATCATATGGTAGATTTATTGTCAGTTGGTCAGTATATGACCAAGATTGACTTAAAAGATGCGTATTTTACAATTCATATTCATAATGAGCATACAAAATTCCTCAGGTTTGAATGGAATTCTCGCTTATTCGAGTTTACTTGTTCGCCGTTTGGACTTTCCTCAGCGCTCAGAGTATTTACTAAAGTAATGAAGCCTATTGTGGCAGAGCTCCGCTCTTGTTTCTGCTCAACGCAGCCAAACCTTGGCTGTATCAAGCGTTCATTCTATGACTAAGACGCAGGATGAAATTCAATTCTTTGTAACGGACATTTTGAAGACATCTCGTCCGGGGAAAGCTTCCCTTGTGGTACACTTTCCTGCGTTTCCTGAAAACAAAAAGTGGTGTGTATACTCTACGTTGTTGGCGTACACAGCCCGGACTACGGAAGCTGGAATTTTTGTAAGTTCCACAAGAAAGCTATAAACGATGACGCTGTGTATGCAAAAACGATACTTAAGCCTTGGGCAAACTAGGAAACATTGTTTCGGAAACATTGTTTCCCGCCAATGTTTCTCAATGTTTCTCAGGGTGGGCAAACACTAGGAAACATCAGTGAGAAACAATATATAGCGCTCAGAGGAAATCAGTCCTATGAAGCAATTATTTTTTTAAAACCCAAACAAATATGGCGAATATGAGAAGAAAGGCAACGTTATGCATTTTAGTACAGCTATTGTTGGACGACGACGAAGAGAAGAAGAGAAGAAGAGGGCGAGATAGACGGTGGATAAGGAGAAGATACGCCAAAGGAGCATATGAAAACATTTTCAAAGAATTGGCTGCTGAAGATACGTCGTCGTTCACCAATTTCATGAGAATGACTTATAAAAGTTTTCAAATTTTGGTCGATATTATTGCCCCTAAAATCGCGAAGAAATCAACCAAAATGAGAGTTGCCATACCCGTTTCAGAAAGAGTGGCACTGACCCTGAGATTTCTGTCAACCGGAGAAAGTTTTCGGTCACTAGAATACCAGTTTCGCATCAGCAGAAGAGCGATATCGTACATAGTTTTTGAAGTTTGTGATGCAATTTACAACGAGTTAAGTGGCTCGTCTCTGGCCTTTCCTAAGTCCGAAGATGAATGGAGGCAGATAGAGGAGCAATTCAGCACGAAATGGAACTTTCCCCATTGTGTTGGCGCCTTAGATGGCAAACATGTCGTCATGCAGGCGTGTGGTTCTGGATCCTTTTATTACAACTACAAAGGAACCAATTCAATCGTCCTCATGGTCTTAGCTGGCCCAAACTATGAAATTATATGGTGTAATGTTGGTGCTAATGGACGTGTTGCAGATGGGGTGTATGGAACGACAGTGAATTAGGAAAAGCATTGGAAAATGGGACTGTGCAGCTCCCACCTCCTGAACCTCTCCCTAACAGGACAGTGAACTGCCCTTATGTTATCATTGCAGATGATGCATTTGCTTTGAAACATACCTTATGAAACCTTACCCACAACAAAACCTGGATAACCAAAGCGTGTTTGTAACTACCGGTTTTCAAGGGCTCGGCGAGTTGTAGAGAATGTGTTTGGTATACTAGCCAACAGGTGGAGAGTTTTCAGGACACCAATTGCACTCATGCCAGACAAAGTTGAAATTGTAGTTATGGCGGCAGTCACTTTGCACAATTGGCTGTTAAATTGTAGTAATGAGAAGGAGAGCTATATAACACCAGCTCTGGATGAATCCACAGATCCTACAGAAATCACAAACTTTCTGCCTCTCAGAAAGAATCCTAGCACCAAATTCTCACAAAGTGCAAAGAAAGTGCGAGAGGAGTTTCAGGACTATTTTTATGTTGAAGGAGCTGTCAGTTGGCAGTGGGAAAGATGTGCCTGAAATTGTGTAGGCATATGGGTTTGATATGGATATGATGATGCAGGGGTGGATCCAGCACTAGTGCACTAATTTGCATGACACAAGAAAACTGCTCAAAATAATCACTTTGTTTTGTAATGCAAATTAGTGCACTAGTGCTGGATCCACCCCTGTGATGATGTAATTAATATTTTGTGTTTATACAATTCCATTTGTAAATAACATTGCATGCATGTTGAAATATAAACAATTTATTTGTAATTTAAATAAATTTATAAATAATTTGAAATGCAATGTACAGAATACTGTAATTAAATAATTCCATTTGAATAATATAATTGTTTCTCGAAAAACCTGTTATTAGTGTTAATTAGTTTATTAACATATATGTTGTGTACACTATTTTCAATAAACAGTTTCACATCAACAATTAAACAATTAAGTATGTCCTCTTCATTAGTGAAAATTAACGCCTGATCTTGAATACTGATGTTGTTGATCAAACAAATTGAACTCGGAATGAGCAAACTGGTCAGTCAAAGACACCTCTGCTCCTTGTGCATGAAATTCAATGTCAAACAAAACGTCATTGATTCTTTTCTTTGCTAAAATCTTTTGCCTTGGGTTGAGACGTGTTAATGTTTTAGCAACTAACATGCCAAAATGCTCTTCTTCAGTGAAGGAGAGTTGTTTCTGTTCTGCACCTAGGTAACTGACAGCCTTGTCTAACAGAACCATTTTCTTTACTTCGTTGTCTTCCTTTAGCTTTTGTTTCTGTTTCTTTGGCAGTGGTTTGGAGCCATCTTCTTTCTGCATGGAATCGAAACCTTTTGTAGGGCTGATATTTTCTTTAACTGAATCCAAAAATTTCAGGGATTGAAACCACTTCCATTTTGAAACATAAACTTCGTCTGCTCCTTGTCCAGATTTCCTTTTCCTTTCAGCTTCTTTTTCTCTCATGAACTGGCCTCTTATTATCTTCCATTTGTACTTGTATTCTTCTCTGTCGATGCCAAATTCCTTTAACTCGTTGTCAATTTCAGCATAAGCCTTTTCTTTTTCGTCTCTGTTCGAGTAATTTGCATTACCAACATCCCATAGACAGTTTCTTGCTTCGTACAAACTTATCAGTTTCTCTGTTTCGGTGTCTTTCCACACTCGTTCGCTTTTAACCCTTTTTTTATTGCTTTGTTCGTCTACAACAACTGCTATTGTACTTTCAGCCATTTTTCAGCCATTTTTTGTGTTATGCGCATGCTCTAATTGGTAAAAAGTGCGGAAACATATGGGCAAACATGGAAACAATGTTTCCGCAACAAAAATCACACTTGGGAAGCATGAAATGTTTCTGAATTTGATAGGAAACATTTTTGCTTCCTCGGAAGCAAATTTTGCTTCCGCAACAATGTTTCCCAGGGTGGGCAAACAGGGAAACATATGAGGAAACATTGCGAAACATAAATGTTTCCGAAACAATGTTTCCTAGTTTGCCCAGGGCTTTAGTTCATGAAATGGAATGGTTGCTGCGTGTGTGTCCAATTAAATATGGCCTTGAACTTCTCTTGAGTACGTGTGTATTAATGTTCATTAACAACTGACATTCCACAAAAAGAAAGCAGATCGTTCAATTACACCTAGAAGACAGGATTTTAATCATTTATATAGCAAGTTCACAAAGGAAAAGTTCGGAGGTTATGAGGAAGGTATGTTCACTAAGCTTGCAGAAAAGGTTTCTGAATACACACAAGCTAACCCAGAGGCAACAATAAATTACCAACTCTATGCTGGTGATGACATTCCGCTTATGGTTACAGTTGTCACCCCGCTTATGAAACGTGTCCACAAAGATATCGAACAAGCAGCAGAACTTATTTTCATTGATGCTACCTCTAACACCGAAGCACACAATTTAAAAGTGTTTTTGATGTGTACCTACTCATAGTATTGCAGGGGCACTGCCATGTGGCCTTCTTATAACAAGTGATGAGAAGGAGAGCACCTTAAATAAAGGGTTCACTATGCTAAAGAACTGTCTTCCACGCTATGCATTCCATGGCAATGGCCCAATAGTTGGCCCAAACATTATACTAACAGACAATTGTCAAGAAGAGAGAAATTCCCTGAAAGCTGTGTGGCCATCTGCAAATTTATTGCTTTGTATTTTCCATATTCTCCAACAAGCATGGAGATGGTTACTGGATAAGAATAATCAAATCTACCGAATTACATCATCCATAACAGATTGCAACATTCCAGAACCACAAAATTGTGAAACCAATGCTTGTCCAGGCAATGCTTGTGAAACTACAGAAGACCAATATGACAATGCAACAGAAGCTGTCACAGAAGCACGCAATTTGATCTGTGCTAAGTTAAAAAGTTCAAAGAATAAAAATCTAGAAAGGGGTCTGTTGCAGTTTGCACACAGAGTAAAGAAGCTTGCCTGTTCAATGCATGGCAATTTGACATCAGCTCTTTTTAACTTTGGTTCAGTTGAGCTCAGAAAGGGGAAGAATGGTAAAAAGATTAGAGTCCAACCAAATAGAAAGAAGAGACATTCAAATGGGAGCCATCAAGCAGTTACTAAAAAAGGTCGACCAGCTAGTACATATTTCAACACTTACATTGCCACCCAAGAAAGCAAAACGAGATCACAAGTTTGCAGAATCTGTCAGGAAAAACTGTTAATGTGGCCAGAAAATCTGGTTCACATGTTATGAAGTCAAAGACAAATTAACACAGTCAAAACATTCAACTGACCTGCTCAGAACTTTGTCTTAAAATGCAAACCACCTGGAGCTGGTTGCATAGAAAATTTGCTAGAGTTAAATAGTGGGTAATCTAATCATAGTTAGTTTGAAGTTTTAGAGAAGTCATGAGTGCAAACTTTCCAACTTATCATTGATCAACTTCAAGATTTAAATATTTGTTCCCCAAACTTGTATGCCTATGCTTTCAGACACAAGCCTGCTATGTTAAAAATAACAGAACTCTGCAGAACACTGCTGAATTTAACTGCAAAATGGATAGGTAAAAATTTAGTTTAATACAAGGATTTTAATACAACTGACCCTAGATAAATGTTTATTGTTTTAACTAATAACATTTGCAATTGCCTGAAGACTTAATTGCATGTCCTGGTTAAGAAAAAAAATGTTGGAATGGGAATATAAATTAAAAATGTAAATACAAGTACAACTACTGTGCAGTCAGTGCCAGTGATGTTGCTGTTTCTTGTGTCTTTGCATGCTGCCTTTTGCGCTGAATCCTGAGTGACATATTTCACACTCCACCTTTATACCTGCATGCACTACTTGATGCCTCTTTAGATTGCGCTTGTTAGCAAAACACTTGTCACAATCATCACACTTGTATGCTTGTGTATGCACCAAACTTATATGGCTGTTAAGTAAATGCAGGTTTTGGAATGACTGACCACAGTCTTCACAATAAGGATAGCTGCAATTAGGACAGTTTTGTTTTTCCTCCAATGAGCCCATATCTAAATCCTCACGTTTCTTCTGGGCTTCCAGCCTCCAATGAGTCCAATCCTTTAAATGATAAAATAATATTGTGTGATTAATGTGTGATTGAGGTACATTTTATATACATTGGATTTTTTTATCCTTTGGTAACTGCCATACTTAAAGAAAAACCCACCAGAATTAGGTGAAATATTTAAGTGGAGAAATCTCTGTCAGTATTTAAGCAGTGTATATAAAAGCAGTATATATTGGGTTAATATTATTAAATATCTGAAACGTTGTCTTGGTTTTGCAAGCGAAAACCTTTTCATCACTTACTTTTCTTCTCTCACTCCCAATCTCTCTCCAGATCTTTGAGGCTACTGTGCAAACCTTTCCAATATCAGAGTCCTCGCTGAGCTTGTCCATAATACCTGGCTGTTGTAAAACATATAGGTATATTTTTATGAAACTACATATTTCTTACATTAATTGCTAAAGTATCATATTTGATAGTAGTCCAAAGTTAAGGACAACATCATTGCTAGAAACGACTTGGTTATGTACCCAAAGTCTTTCTAACAGACCAATTGAAGACTATAAAGTGAGTGTGGTACTGTGGTGGTTTATACTCTCACTCCATATGCTAATAATATTAATACCAAGTATGTTCGTTTGTTATTTAAATGACCTTATCATTTATGCATGATTTCGCTGGCTGACGCATAACTTTACATTGATCTACAATGTAGGAATAAAATCAACTATCTATGGCTAACCGCAACTTCTTGATAGAAAATATTCCAGCCACTTGGCTTTTTTATTGATTTCTTTTCTGCCGCCATTTCTTCGAAAAATTGTGACTGTGTCTTTGGAGTGGATACTTAGGGAAACAAGGGGATATGATGTTCATGTTGGCAACGACCGTTTACGAAAGGGAAAATTACTGCGGCACGCCAGAAAATACAGAGAGTGGATACGAGGTTTTGCCAAAGAACAGTTACTTTTTGGTGGCGATTCCTAAGATTCCTCTGAAGATGTCTGTAGTGGAGAGGGCCAGGGAATAAAGCTTGAATAGAGGAGGTCAGGAGGCCTGGGAATTTTAACAGCTCTCAAACTTAGATCTCGGTAGCCTCTAAGAGAAAGGTCTCCAGGGCAAGAGGGCGATTAAATGCTTCATCTTCTTCAGGACCAGCTCTCTGCGACTCACAGAGATGAGAGCGAAAGCATCACTTGTTCGAAGCATTGCATGTTTAATGCAGTTTAGAAAGCCTTGGATACTTTCCTTGTCCAACTCAATTACCCCCTCACTACTACAGGACTCGTCCATATAGCTAGAAGATTGTCGTAGATTGTGGACAAAGGACCAAAAACATCCAAAATATGGTCCTGCATCTTTCTTAATGGTTTGTCTGGTATCGTGATACCCTGGGCTAATGGTTTGAGCTATTCGTCCATGGATGGTGTGTAAATGGCATTAACATCAGGTCGTGGGAATGCCTTGACCAGACTTCTTTGGTCAAATTTGCTCAAAGCTTTGCTTGTTGTTGTTGCCAGAAAGGTAGCAAGTTCTTCACTGGCTTCCCAATGAGAATTTGGTGATAGTATATCATTCTCAGTCGAATCTATGTCCAGAGTAATTGTGTCAGTGGTACCCTCGGCAACCACAATTGAACGAGCACGCTTCGTTCCTTGTGTATAGGTTTCTACGTCAATCACCGTCTCTGAGCCTCTTTTGCTTGGTCATCTGACACAACGGGATTTGCTGTATGTATGGTACCCGTGTGATCAACTGATACTACGGGATTCGAAGTTGGTGATGTACCCGTTTGATCAAAATATACTCCAGGGTTATTCGTTTTATCTAATTGGGCGGAAGAATTGAACAACAACTGGAATGTTCTTTTTGTCTGACTTTAAAATTACGTCCGGTTTCAAAAAGGAACATTCGAGTTGTTGTTCAAGAAAAAATTTGGAAAGATCAGCTATAGCTAAACTCTCATGGGAAAACGACCACAAATTTAATTGGGAAGACGTATCCCTTCTAGCCCCTGTGAACTATTTCCTCGTATAACTAGGGAATCAATTGGAATATTCAAACATAAAACTATTCCACAGGAAGGGAGACCATGGTCTTGTTTGTTCTAGTTTTCGCATGCTTAGTTTTCTATTAGAGTAGAACCATACTGATAGAACCTTTATAACAGTTTAATGACATACAGTTATGGAACTCGCGGCGGAATCCTTTGATGTTGCTGTCCCCCTGCTTACGCAATTCCACGCGCCACGCAAATTGCTCTGGCAAGTGTATTTTGACTCTAAAGTAAGGGAAAAAGGCGTTCGAAAGACAAAAAATGTATATATTTAAAAGCTGGCTCTATCGATCTGCATTTTTGCGCCTAAATTTTAAAAACAAACGGTAAATGGTTGTTTTTTTGTAAAAAATATATGCGTTAGGTTAAAGAAGTAAGAAATACAAGCGCGAATGATTTTCTTTATAAATATCAAGTTGATTGCCAACATCGTCGCCGATTATAAATTAGGCAGTTATTTTTCCATCCAGAAAACATCTGAGCTGATCTGAAAACAAGCATGATTGATGTGTTATTTCTACAATTCAAAACACACGAAAAAATTTCTTTGAAAATAATTTATTTTGCCATAAAACTAGCAAAAACTACATGTTTTTTATTCGAATCTTAGCTTGAACTTGAATTCAAAGGATTTAGAATAAGCAAATAAAACTTTTACCTATATGATTATACAATACTTTTTACATGAGTATAAATCCAACTTCACACACAAATGGTAAATGCTAACAGATATTAATTTCGGTTCATACATGATTGTAATATTCATGAAGGACATGCAAATCAATTTCCAATCTAATCTAAAATTAATTATGCAATTCTGTGTGGTTTCTATGAGAAGATTGAAAGCTATTTTCCAATTTTTAGATGTGAATATTTAATGAAAAATATAAATATTTTGTGCTCTGAAACTATAATATGATGATGAATGTGTCCT